CAGGGGAACCCCTGCCCTCAGGCACCTTCTAGTTTAACTGGAAAACAAAGCCCGTGTGGGCAGCACAAGGCTGTAGCTAAGCCAGAGCTGCAGAGGCTGGGGCAGAGCAGGGAGTGGGCAGGGACTGGGGCACTTTGGGAGGGCTTCCCGTAGGTGGAGGGCTTTGAAGGACAGTAAGATTGGGATGGGGAGGGGAGGAAAAGTTCCTTCAGGGCTGAGATCCCTGCCCTACAGAGCAGGACTCAAGTGCTGCTTGTTGGCTGCAGGGAGTTTAAGGAGAAGGGCCAGTCCAATCAGCCTTTCCCCAGCTTCTCTGGGCCCAGCCGGGGTCAGAGCAGGGGACTGAAGGAGGCCATGTCCCAACTGACCTTCGGAGAGAAGTAGCAAGTGAGCCCAGGAGAGGTCCCTCAGCCCCATGGCAATGGTCCCCTCCCACGCCCCACAAGCCCACAGGTGCCAAACATTTGTGCTCAAACAGATACTCTCATTCACCCCATACTCAGAGATGTCACAAGCCTGGGTGTGGTTTCTTAAGACACATTGTTTATTCCATGGGAGAATGGGCTCAAGGCTAGGAGCCCGTGGGGCGGGAGAGAGTGGCAGAGAGTGGGAGAGGGATGAAGCTCTCGGTGGCCTATTCCTGGCCAGGCTTCATAGGAAGCTCTCTGCTCTGAGTCCATTTGCAGGTTCCAGACCAGTCCATGCCTTCCCTGTCCTGGACTCAGGATGGATCCCCGCATAGCACCCCGAGAAAGCTGGGCCCAGTCTGTCACCAGACAACTCCCGGCTGCAAATCACTGACCTATGGCCCTTCCACTCCAGTCCCCTTGGCAAGAGCTGGGGGCCAGGGGCCGGAGGGGCAGGCAGATCTGGTGGGCCAGCTTTGGAGGCCAACAGGGGATCCAAGGAAAAAGGGATGGACTGGGAGCCAGGCGGCTCTGAAGCAGTCAATGGGGCCCAGCAGGCTGTGCCCAGGGGCATGGGGAGGGCTGGCCTCACTCCTGGCCTGGGTGCTCACCCACCGACCACTTCACCTCCCCTGTCCGCAGAGTCACTATGTCCTCGTAGGTGGCCGTCTGGTCAATGTTCAGGCCCTGGAGACGTGGAATGGAGCTCAGGCCTTGGTCACTCCCCAACCACACCAACAGATGATGCTGCTGACCACCCCGCACCCTCAGAGCTAGGGGTCCACCCTGCTCCTTACCTCATAGGTGTGGTCTTCCTCCATCCCAGCCTTACTGTCATCCTGGTGGGGCAAGAGATGGAGAGCAGAGTGTTGGCTCACTCCTCCCCCATCCACTGCTGGGCCAGGATGGGGAAGGCCAGGGAGATTGGCCTTGGGTCAGGGGTGAGGGGTGAGGGGTGAGGGGACAGGAGGTGAGGTACTCTCTGCAAGAACAACTGAAGGAGTGAAGGAGTGATGGAACAGGTCAGTCACTGGGCAGACTCTGGGGCTGGGGAGATGGAGACCCTGTCCATGTCTGGCCTGCCCCAGGGTGGCCTCCCCGCCCCCCAAGGTCACCTTGTCCAGCAGTAGGAAGATGGGCACGGTGATGAAGAGGATGATGAGCAGGGTCTGGATCATGATGATGCCATCTTTCAGTGTGTTCCGCCGCTTCAGCTGAGCCAAGGTGCTGAACCCTGGGGGGAGGTGGGGCGGGGACAGTGAAGCTGGGGCCACACTTGGGCCTGCACCCCTCGAGACCTCTTCTCCGCGGCTGTCCTGGGTGCTCCAGAGCCATGGCCTCCTCCACAGTGTGGCCCTCACTGGTGGCAGGCTGGGTGGGGTGGGCTGTGGACGAACACCTGTGGCCCCGCCCACTCCCACTCCCCTCCCTGCTGGAGGGCAGGCCCCGCACCCACCCATGACTCGGAGTTCACTGCCGCAGCCCATCTGAAGGGACTTGTCCGGACATCTGTGCTGACAGAAGTAGATGCCGTTGTCCTGGAACTGGGCGTCGTGAATGGTGAGGGTGGCGTTGGTGCTGGTCTGGGTCTGCTGGATGCGTCCCGGTTTCACGGCCAGTTCCTTGGGCTCCGAGTCCATATCCTGTTTCCAGAGCCAGCTCACGGGGCCCGTGACCTCCAACTGGCAAATTATTTTCACCACGGAGCCCCGCTTCTTGGCCATGAAACGTGGGTACTGCCCGATCCCACAAGTGCTTCCTGTGGGCGGCAAGACCAGGATCAAAATCCCACCTTTCCCAGCATCTTTCTGGCTGTCAGCCCTGCCTGCCATGGACCCCCCCACCCCCCGTGGGTGGCACATACCCTGGCCCAGCCCCCCAGGTCTGTCCTTGCTTCCCAGGGTGTGGGACAATCAGGAGGCATTGGTGTGGGGAGCGGAGCCACGTGAGAGGCCACAGGCCCAACCACTGGGCCCGCCCCTTCTGACATTTGATGTTCCTTTATTATTTATTTATCCTCACCCGAGAATATTTTATATTTTTCCATTAATTTTTAGAGAGAGTGGAAGGGAGGGGGAGAGACAGAGTGAGAAACATTGATGTCAGAGAGACACATCGACTGGTTGCCTCCCATGCGTGTGACGCCCTGACTGGGGCCCGGGATTGAGCCTGCCACCGAGGTACGTGCCCTTGACTAGAATCGAACCCGAGGCCCTTCAGTCCGCAGACCGACGCTCTATCCACCAAGCCAAACCGGCTAGGGCTTGATGTTCCTTTAGAAGGGCCCTGGAACCTTCGATTCCTTTCCATGGCCATTACAGCAGCCTGAACCAGGCCTCACCCCCCACCCCCAGCCTCCCACCTGGCCTGTACACCCACCTCTCCCTGGCCTGGCCTGGGCTGCCCGGCACCAGTCTGAAATCCTCAGGGACGTTCCACAAATCCTTAGCTTGGCAATTGAGGCCCCCACATTGATCCCCTGCCCTTCTTTCGTCCATTACCCCCTTCTATCCCGCTGCTTGGACCTGCTCCACTTTTTATTCCCAAACCTTCTTTCTCAGCTTGGCATGCTCTCCCCACCCACTGCCTCACTGGTCCCAGCGAGAGGCCCCCAAGAAATCCCCGAGCCCCTGCGTCCTGTCAGAGCCCCTGAGGTTAGGGGCTCCTGCTGGGGCTGAATCTGACTCCAGCTTGACTAGCCCAGTCCCTCAGGCACTGGGCCTGGGACACTGTGTCTAGTGAGGATGACAACTGGCAGGGAATGGGGGTGTGGGGTGGCCTCGGAGCCAGGCTTCAGAGAGGGAGACAAGCCGGCCTAGGGAGGGGAGTTCTGGTGGGGAGGCCCAAGGGGTCAAGGGCACGGGGTCAGGCATCAGGCCAGTGAGTGGCATTGGACACGGGCATCCTCGCCCTCAGAGGGGGCAGGGGACGTTGCTGACCTTGGGAAATCCGTTGCTGGTCCTTTGCTTCCGCGAACACAGTCTCACCTGCTGGTTGGGAGGAAGTGGGCAGGGCCAGGTCAGGACCTCTCCTTGGAGCTGGCCGCCCCACCCCTGCACGCCCTCCACCCTCTGAATTCTCAGACGCACTTCCTCCTCCCCGGACAGCAGCGTCAAGACCCCTCAGCCCTTCCCACCCCTGCTCTGAAGACAGGAGTGGGGTGGACAGAGCGAGGTGAGGTCCCCAGAAGGTCGGCCTCCCAGCCCCCCTTCTGCTTTGACCAGGCACCTGGATGAGACAGGAGGGAAGTCAAAATTACAGAGCTCTCCGGTCCTCCAGGGAGGTCACTTCTGGAATAAGTATGCCCCAGGGTCTGGCTGGGGGCAGCCTCTCCCCTGCCTCAGGGGGTGAACCACACTCCTCTCCTCTCTTCCTCCCTGGCCTGGCTCTTGTGTGGTTAGAACCACCAACCCCGCAGGCCTAGCTCAGCCGGATAATGCAGACTGGAGCGGGCTGGATGGGGTGCAGACCCCTGAGTTCATCTCAGACCCCTGAGCTGATCCCCACACACTCAGACCCCAGGGCAGCAGAGGGAGACCGAGGCAGAAAGTGTGAAACAGGAGGAGGGTGGAGAGAGCAGAGACAGACCCGTGGAAAGAGTGGCAGAGAGTGAAAGCAGCAGGCCTGCTGGAGGGGCTGTACCTGACAGAAGCATCAGCAGCACCACCAGCCCGTTGCTGGGCACAGGAGACAGCGCCAGCCTGGCCATGGCCACCCCTCGGTCTCGGATCCCAAGCCCGCAATGACGACGAAGGCTCCTGGAGGGAAAACGTGTAACTGCCTGGGCTGTAGGCTGTCCCCTCCCCGCCTCTTCCCCACCAGGCCCCTTCCTGCCATGCAAATCGGGACCCTGGGGAGGCACCGGCTCCCTGGGGACCCTGCGGAAGGGCGGGCTCTCTCGTCAGCTGTGCTGCTAAGGCTCAAGAGCCATCCCAGCTTGGCACCGCAGCTCCGTCTATAGTGGGATCCCTGGGAGGCTGGGACCTCTGAGCCTTCCGAGGACAGCTTTCCTGCGTCTCCACCCCACGGGGGCCCTGCAGCCTCCCCCTGAAGCCTGAATTCCCAGGCACTTAGCTGAGTACACATGGGGCCTGTAGATGAACTTGAGAGTGACCCCTCTGCCCTGGACCAGCCTGCACCCTTAGGGAACAGGAGCACCAAGAAAGATGGTGTGGGGCCCTAGCCGGTTTGACTCAGTGGATAGAGCGTCGGCCTGCGGACTGAAGGGTCCCGGGTTCGATTCTGATCAAGGGCACATGCCCGGATTGCGGGCTTGATCCCCAGTAGGGAGCGTGCAGGAGGCAACCAATCAGTGATTCTCTCTCATCACTTATGTTGCTATCTCTCTTTCCCTCTCCCTTCTCTCTGAAATCAATCAAAAAATATTTTTTTATAAAGAAAGGAAGGAAGGAAGGAAGGAAGGAAGGAAGGAAGGAAGGAAGGAAGGAAGGAAGGTGTGGAATGAAGGGGAACAGCCATGGGGTCCAGGGCAGGCACTGGGAGGGCCCAGAGCACAGCTGCTGGCTGGAGTGCAGGCAGCCATGTTAGAGGTCGATGGAGACGTGACCCTGTGGTGTAAGGGAGCCACGGAGGTTCTTGAGCAAGAGCAGCCCAAGTGCGGCAGCCCCTTGGGAGGAGATTTGGTCCAGGCCCTGGTGTGAGGCCTCCTTCCCTCACTCACTTGGTGGGAGATTTTGCTGGGAGCTGCTGAAGGGGGTGGACTTAGGAGGAGGCGGCTTAGAGAAAACCCACCACTCAGCCTCAGGGACTCCCCGGGCACGGAGTGTCGTCCATCGCTCCAGGTGTCTTTGGGAGGCGGACAGACAGGAGGCGACAGTTGGGAAGGCTCAGGTTCTGAAACTCAAAGGCCCTCTGGCTTTTCTCACCAGTCAGCAGAGTGGTGGGTGGAACGGCAGTGGTCAGGAACCTGTCTAGCTTCGTAAACTCTGTACCTGTGGGTCAGACACAGCCCGTGCCCGAGTGGCGGTGGCAGGGTGCACAGCGGTGCGGGCAGGCTTGCTCACCAGCCTGCAGCCCAGCCCAGCCCGGCTTTATGTTTCCTGGCAGCCTCTTTTCTCTCTTGTCCCCTCTCTCTATTCTCCTAACCTCCAGGAGGGAAGAAAGATGCCTTTCGTCCTCTGCCTGCGTCTCATTCTCCCCACCACCCTCCATTTTTCAAACAGCCTGTGCACCGGTGGGTCTGGGTTCCAGGAGCTGTGGACCCGCCTCTCATGCCGGACTTGGCAGCGAGGAAGGCCGCGTTCTGCAGGCTGCCCTCTGGGCCCCAGGCCTCGGCCTCACCTGGCGCAGTGGGGGCCGCCCCCGAGGAGCAGGGGCCAGGACCCAGGCTACGGAAAGTGGGGACAGGAGGGTTTAGGTTTCATCCAGGGAGCGGCTTGTTCCTGGCAGCCCCAGATGTTCTTGCTGTTTCCAGATGTTGCAAATGAAAAACATTTCCCTGAAAAGGTGCCAGATGTTCAGTTCACGGAACAAACAGTCCGGGACTATAAACATCAACTGAGGTCAGCGTGGGGGCCACAGGCCTCTGGTGCTGGGGGCGGTGTTTGGAGACCCCCCAGCAGAAAGGGGGTCGATCCAGGGGTCTCTTCCTTTAGCAAAGTTCCTCCTGATGATTTAGGCCTTGGTTAGCTTTGGGGCTTGTGTCCCCCAAAGTTGGGAGGGTAATTGGGGAAGGCTTGGGGTACACGTGTGTGTGTGTGTGTGTGTGTGTGTGTGTGTGCATGTGTACCCTTGCATGGGATTGTTGCCCAGGCTGTGTGGCTTTGGGCCTGCTCAGGAGCTGGTCCTGGGGCTCAGGGTGACTGTAGGGGCACAAAGACTATGAGAGGCAGTTGGCATCCTCCAAACACACACACATCCATGCCCCCTGGAGGGACACAGATGCAGATGTGTCCTTTGGACTCATTCCTATTCATGCCAGGCAGGGATCCACTTTCAGGAGGGGTGGGGGCAGGGCCACCGCCTGCAGGGTTATTTGTCGTAGTTGGGACCACGCTGTTCCCTCCCAGGTGACAACAGTACCGAGCTCTGTCCGGGCTTCGTGATGCCTTTTCTTTCCTGGAACACGGGGCCTTGGCTCCCCTGGGCTGGGCATCCCGACATCTGGCAGCCTCCACCTCACATTTCCAGGAAGGCGGCTTCGAAACAAGAGGTGGGGCCCCGGCTGGGTGGCTCAGTGGGTTGGAGCGTCGTCCATACACCAAAAGGTTGCAGGTCCGGGTCCCAGGCAGGGCACAGACCTAGGTTGCAGGCTCGATCCCGCATCGGGATGCGCACAGGAGGCAACTGATCGAGGCTTTACTCTCACATCAATGTTTTTCTCTCTCTCACTACCTTCTTCTCTAAAATCAATAAAAACATATCCTCGGGTGAGGATTAAAAAAACACACCAAGAGGTGAGGGGGAGGGGACCAGGAGCACAAGAGTTCGGGGAAGCAAGAGGGAGGGGGCCCCCGTAACCCTGGGAAGATGGGACAGGTAGAACCCCAGTTCGGAAAGCAGGGCTCAGCCCCCTGCCCTCTGCCCTCCACTCTCACTGGCTCCAGGTGGTCCCCGCTGACCGCAGGCGAGGTTTGCATTCCCGGGCTGTTTGTTCTGTTACTGGGAGGAGGCGGCTGGCTAACAGGATGCAAGTTTGAATCCTGGCCCTGCTGTGTGCCAGCCAGAAAGGCTCCTCCAGTGACCCGGCAGTTCTCAAAGAGGGTGGTCCCGCGCCGCCCAGGGAGCATTTCAAGGGTCGCGGGGAACAGTGGGCACCACGGGCACCTTGGGCCAAGGACGCTAAAGGTCAGCGGGAGGGTCAGTGTCTCACGAAGCAGAATTCCTCTGCCTCACACGCCCAGTGAAGCATCACCTATTCTTAACCCTTCAGAAACCAAATTTCCTCATTTATGTAAAATTGGAATCACTGTAGTAATAGTTCTTCATGGGGCAGTTGTGAGCTTGGAAGGAAATCCTGTGTCTGCTCAGGGAGGTACCCGGACCACAGTGACGAGTAGCATCGCTACCTGGGGGTGGGGCCGATTCTGAAACATGAGCCCATGTTATCTGTGTTCTCAGTGTTCCGCCTTTTTTTCTCTGTCATTCGAAGCTCAGGGGAAAGGTGGGCTGTGGCGCCTGCCAGCTCTCCTGTCCTTGGGGCCGGACACAATGAGGAGCCAGGACCCAGGGAGGGAGGTCAGCACCCTGAGGGGGCTCAGGGAACCCTGCAGGGATGCTGGACCCCTCCCCCCCGTGAGAGGAGAGCAGCAGGGGGTGGAGGCCTTGGGGACACGGCTGAGGGACACGTGAGGGACATCAGGGTGGTCTGTGTGTGCCGCTCCCCAGCCCCCATGGGGGTCTTGTAACCTCTGGACCCAGGAAAAGGGGGTGCAGAAACCCTGAAAAAGACTCAGTGTTTACTAGTGTGGAGGAATCTAGCCCTGGGAGGCAGGAATCAAGTCGTAGAAAACAAATTATATACAAAATTCTATCTCACCTGCTGGGATTATGGACTGAGCTCACTGCATATTACTCTTTGTCACAGGCCCCTGGGACTCTGGGCTTTCTGGGGTCGGGGGTCAGAGGCAGGGTCCTGGGGGGGATGGTCTCTCTGAGGAGAGGGAGGGGCACCTTGGAGCCCTGAGGGGGACGGGTAGAGAAGTGAAGGGGTTTCTGGAGAGGAGCGGCTGGGGATGCGGGATCTGGACAGCTCTTTGCTGGGTGCTGTCATGGGTGGGAGCGGAGGGATGTGACCTCTGACCTCGTGTGGCCTCCAGCTGGACCCCGAGCCTTCCTTTAGGCGGGGCAGGAGGGAACCTGGGGGCCAGAGGAGGAAGTTGGGAGCATCCCGCCCTCCCGGACCCCTGCCCGGGACTCCACCAGTCCTCCCTGCTGGGCTGCAGTCCCCACCAGCCCCTCTGCCGCTTGCTGCCCTCAGCCCCCCTTGACGTCTGCACTCGGAGCTGCAGAAGGAAGAAGCCCACACACCAGGGGCTCGAGGGGGAGGTTTATTGTAAGAACTGTACAAAGGGGCCTGTCTGCTGGCCTGGCTTGGGCCTGTGCCTACCCGGGCACGGCACGGACGGGTGTGGGTCTGCCAGTGCGGAGGGGGCACAGGCAGGGGGAGGCGCTACAGTCTGTACACAGTCTCTCCAGTCCAACAGACGCGGAGGCTCTTGGGGCCACGCCAGCCCGGGCCCAAGGAGGGAAAGGCAGCGGGCAGGGTGCTGGCCGGGGAGGAGGCTGCCCCCTGTAGGGTGAACCTTCGGAAGGAAGAGCCAGACGGAGTGGGGCCCCTTCCACAGAGGACACAGGCAGGAGACACCGAGCAGGGCTGGGCACTGGTGTGACGAAGACAAGCAGCAGAAGGGGAGATGGTGGAGTCACAGGGAGCAAGAGGGGGGCGCCCAGGCTGGGCGATGAGGAGGCCAGAGGGCGGGGCAGACAGAACAGAGGGCTCCGGCCTGACACACACACACACACACACACACACTTGCACTTTGTTTTGGAGGTTTGGCTGCTTCCTGAGTTGTAATCAAACTGTTCACAAGAAACAAGAAAAAGAAGAGGAACTAAGGCCAACAGGGACTTGAACTTTGCACATGTGTTCACACGCGTACACACACTCACACGGACAGGCCTCTACAGAAGACACACACACACCAGCCAGACACCACAGGGGCCCACTGACACACATTTACACAAACAGACCCAGACACACATGCATACGTAGGCGTCGTGGGACACAATGGTGTACACACTTGAACACACACACACACACACGTGAAT